AGGGCACATGTCACGGGGCACAGTCTGTCCCACGGCTTGGAAGCTTTGGGATAAACGGCCGGGAAACCCCCACCCTCGTCGCCCTCTTCAACGTCGCCTGCTGCTTCGCTTAGTCGTGGTCATTGCCTGGGTTTCCCCCCGTAAATGCCTTTTTCAGCTCTTCTCCACCAGTTCTGATCCTGTTCATTCTATTAAGAAAAAAAATCTAAGGTAATTTTAATCTTAATTTAAGGTTGACCCATTTGTACTCAAGTTGCTAAAATTTTGTTAACGTTTTTTGTATCTTTGTTCATGAAGGGCATCAGTCTGTAGTTTTCTTGTTATGTCTTTGATTTGGTATGAGATGGGAGATGTTCTTTCCTTATTTTTCTAGAAGAGTTTGTGTAGAGTTGCTATTATTTCTTCCTTACATGTTTGGTAGAATTCACCAGTAGTAGTACTTTTTTTATTTTATATTCAACTTTTTTCCCTACCTGGTCTGATGCTCTGTGAATGATACAATAGTTTCTGTTGTGTTGTGGGATTTATATTATACTTAAAAAACAATTCATGTAGAATGTCAATAGCAGTTATTTCTGTGGAGTTAAAAATCAAATCAATTCTAGATCTTTTGCTCAAGTCACCATTAAACTCTAGGGTTTCTAAACATTTTTTGTGGCATATTGCAGTCTAGTGAAGCCTATCCTATATAATCCTATATAATAAAAGGTTAATATACAAATTGTCCCCTTCACTGGGAGTTGACAGGGAGTTCGACCAGGGGGCGGAGTGGCTGGCCAACACCCGTGGCCCCTCCCCCCAGCCCGCCCACCCAAAGGCCCTGATCAGGGTGGGCGGCTGGACCCCACCCCGCACACAAATTCATGCACCAGGCCTCTAGTATTGCATAAAACAGAGGAATGACTTTAAATGTATAAAATAAAATGTAAAAGAATATTAAAGGAACCAGTAATATAAAAGTTATCAACACACATATATATTTTAATCCTCACCTAAGGATATGTTTTCATTGATTTTAGAGAAAGAGAGAGAGAGAAACATTGATATGAGAGAGAAACATCAATTGTTATGCACTGCAACCAGGAATCAAACCCACAACCTAAGTATGTGCCCTGACCAGGAATTGAACTCATAACCTTTTGGTATATGGAACAACACTCCAACCAACTGAGCAGTCCAGCTAGGGCTCAAAATATTTTTTAAAACAAATGTATGATGTAGTAATATGTGTGCATCTTT